ATTGTTGCAGATGATTCTCCAGTCGGATATATCCTTGAAGTCAATTTGGAATATCATTAAGAATTGCATGAACTCCATAAAGATTTTCCGCTCTGTCACGAATATTTCATCCCTCTAGAGAGCAAACATACTCAATTGGCGACCACTCTCTTCCCGAAAGAAAAGTATGTAATACATTACGTAAACTTGAAGCAATTCACAGCTCTTGGTACAAAACTAAAGCATATTTATCGTGTTTTGAAATTCATTCAGAAGCTGTGGTTTGAATTTTACATTAATCTGAATACTATGAAAACACAACAGTCAAAAAATGAATTCGAAAAGAACTTTGATAACTTGATGAATAATGCTGTATTCGTAAAAACTATGGAAAATGCCAGAAAACAGAAAGATATTAAGCTCGTCACACATTGGAGTGCTCGATATGAAGCAAAAGCATTGGTAGCAAAACCCAATTTCCATAGCTGTATGGTGTTTGATGAAAATATGGTTATTATTGAAATGAATGGAACATCCGTATATTTCCAGAAACCTATCCATATTGGATTTATGAACCTCGATTTATCAAAAACGGTTATATATTACTTCTATGAGAACAATGTTAAGTGTAAATTTGGGGATTCAGCAAAACTCATATATACCGATACAGATAGTTTACTCTATCTGTTTCAAGTACCAAATATCTATGAGTCTATAAAATAAGACATACACATGTTCAATACATCTGACTATAAAGACAAAAATGAGTATAGAATGCCGACTCATGAAGGATGAGAATAATGGTCGAATCATGGTTAAATTTGTAGGTCTACGAGCCAAAACATACGCATTTAGGATGTTGAATGATGAGAAAGCTAAGAAAAAAGCTAAAGGTGTTAAAGCTGCTTCACTCAGGAAAAGCACATTCAATGATTACAAAAATTGTCTTTTTGGTAATGAGCACATTGTCAGGAATCAGTATTGAATCCAGAGCAAAAAACATGAGGTGCACACAATCTGCTAGCAGAAGGTGGTTTTGAGTTGTGAAGATGATAAGCTTATGATTTCACTCCATACAACAGATACTCTACCTTGGGGTTATTTCAAACAACTTGTTTATTTATATATATATTCTCAGATTGTTTCTCATAATAATAATAGTGATGGTAATAACGTACACATTTGAATAAATGAATAAACTTTTTCAACATTTAACGAAGAGTTTTTATTGTTTCATGTATATATGTTTTCTTACAATTATCATACAGTTATGTTAAAATGAGTATTAAATATATTCCGTCTATATTCTTCTGATAATATAGCATTCGATATTCTTTATGGCATGCCATGCAATAAGTCGAGTTTGAAGCACGCTGCGCTTCGCGCACGATGTGGCGTAAAATAGTATAGATCACTCAGGCATAAACTTCGTTTTCAACGAATGTGAATACAGACCTCGCCTTCGGCTCGGCCTGTAAACTTCACATTCGTCGAAACCGAAATTTGTGCCCTTGTACTCTAATGTACTATTCATGAAAACTTATTTAACGTTTAAGACGATCATGATCTCGAGCGATTTTCTCCCGTGGATCTCGATGAGCAGATTGATAAGCATAGCTCCAATATACCATCAAATAGACTTCAAGTTCTGATGGGAATTGGACTCGCGTGATCCTTTGCGCTTGTCCTGTCTCCATTGTGGTATCATCCAGAATTTCTTTCACTGGAATAGAAATGAATATATCCAACATCAGAAGCATTGGAGAGTGATTTAAATTCACAATGCACATGATTCATTTCACCATTCGATTGTCATAATTTTTACATTATAGCTTCAAACTGATCGCTCAGCAGCCAACAGTAGTAACAGAATTTTTCTTTCTGATCTTTAGTTGTAGAGCGCATATTCTAGAAATCACGTATTTCTTCAACAAATCTATCCAGTGATGGATATTCTCAAAGTGCTGCATGCAAGATCTTGCTAATAACATCATCTTCCGTGAGATAATACGCTGGAACTGTGCTGATCTTATTATTATACACATTCTTTTCTCATAAAACATAACTTAGAACTATGTGAATCGAGTTTCAAAAAGAGTTTGTCTATGTTGTTTTGATAATATAGGGTTCAATATTTCTTCACATGAACTTATTCGACGTCTGAAAAGATCATGATCTCGAGCAATCTGAGTAATAGCAAATATGAAAGAATTGTAAAACTATTGAAAACGATATTATAACGATTTCAAAAACCCCGAGTTAAACTTCACGCTACGAGTTGAGATTCAGTAAACTGAACTTGACTTTGTATTGAGTGTGGATCGTGCAGAGTAGGCGAGTTATCCCCACTCCAACTCCCAATGGATGATTCATCATGGAACAGTCGAGAACCATCGAAAATATTCGAGACCAATCGAGTATCCTATTTCATGCAAGTCTCAACAGGACTCAGCCGACACCCTCTCCACCTCCCCACGAACCGATGAGTCATCAGTCTGAGTGACATCATCCGTCCCGAACGTTTCGCGATCGTAGCGCCAATATCCAATTTCATACAAGTTTTGACCGGTCAGTATTATATTTCATACAAATCCCAACATGACTAAGGGGGACCCCCTACCGCGTGATGAGTCATCGATGACGTCATCCTTCTCGAATCTACACGTCTCAGCAGGACTTACGGGAAACCCCCATCTCGCACATCGATGAGTTATCAGTCTGAGTGACTCACCGATGTCAAACATCTTGAAAATATCCAACCATTGTTTTCACATATTTGCACATATTTGTATATATTTGTAAATGTTTGCACGTCTTTTCATATGTTTGTAAATGTTTGCAAATGTTGTCCAATGTTTGCAAATGTTTGCAGAATATTTGCAAAAGTTTGCAAATCTTGTCAAATGTTTACACAATGTTTGCAAACGTTGTCAAATGTTGTTAAATATTTGCACATGTTTAGGACTTACGGGTAGTTCCCGCAGCGTGCAAGTAAATGAGTCATCATCCCGAGTGACTCATCGATGACGTCATTCATCTCGAAATTTTCGCGATTGTGGCGGCAATATCCAATTTTATCCATGTGTCCACAGGTTTTCATAGTATTATATTTCATTCAAGTCCCACCATGACTTAGGAGGTTCCCCCACCATGCGAGTCGATGACTCATCGATGACGTCATCTGTCTCGAACCTTCTACAGCTTGTGGCGCCAATATCCGATTTCATGCAAGTTTCAACATGTCATTATATTTCACACAAGTCTCAAAAGGTCTTAGAGGGATTCCCCCACCACACGGTCCGAATGACTCATCATTGACGTCATCCGTCCAGAAAATTCCATGACGGTGGTGCCGCCTGGTGGCGGTTGGGTGAATTAAAATCTAGAACCCGCTTAGCCTATCTACTCAGTCATCAACGTAAAATTAACTTCAAGATTTTTTTGGTATCAATTTTGTAACCTTCTCAAGATTATCCTTTCTGGACGATTATAGAGTAGTTTCAATAAAATAAATACCTCTATTTCTATTAATTAGTCCACTGGATTCCAGGTGGTCTGATTGACACTAATAGTTAGATCTCAATACTGAACAAATTAATTTTTTGAATAAGAATTAGCATCAGGTGTTAGTTAACATCAAGTCTTTTTGACATCGGGTATCAATTTTTCCATACTCGCCCCTATTTTTCATTCTGTGTGCATAGAATCTAGGTAGATAATAATAGAAGGTGAGCTTAATCGAAGAACACCTACTTGAGAATCTTGGAAAAGTGTCTCTGACCAGCATTCTGGCTTGAATCATTTTTAGTATCGTCAATTTAGAGGCGTACTTGATTAATATTTCATCGAGCGTGGTTTCCGAACCATATGGTTTTGGACATAACAGTGAAGAAAGAAAGTGGACAGACGATTTCCCAAAAATGAACGGAACACATGATGGTGGCTAGGAGCCAGATAACTCAGGGGACCACTCGATGCATAATCAGACGGTTCCAGGTTCAAATCTCGGTCTAGACTGTTCAGTTTTTTCAGTTAATCTTTCTTGTATACTAATATCAAGAACTATCTTGATTCCCCTCCTACCTACTCCAAAAAATGCTGTCCAACAATATTCTGTGACGTCACGAGATGTGGAACGCTATATCGACTCCGGTTTTCTGTGAAACATGATTGTCGTATGAAGGACGGAGATGCTCGATATGTAAAAGAAATTTGCCGTTAAGAAATTTCTAGAAGCCGGATACTTCAAATCCCGATGTGGATTCTCCAATTTTATCAGTAAATTTTTCTTGTAAACTAATGATGAGAATTATCCTGTTCTCCTTCCTACCCACTCTTAAAAATCCTATCCAACAATATTCAGTGACGGTACAAGATAGAGAACGATACATAAACTCCCGTTTTCCGTGAAAAATGTGGAACGCTCCATGATTTTGCATGGCATCCTCACGCAGAGGCTTAGTAGTTGATTATAACACACAGCGCTAGTATTGAGCCACAGTGTTGTAAGAATTTCTTATCAATTTAATACTCTTTATCTTCTCACGATGTTCTGTCATGTTGGATAAAGAAATTATAGGTCTAATGTTCTGTTTTCTGGGAAATTTTTTGATTTCATTGATTGATATATTTTTGTAGAAAGATTAGTTTACCTTCAAATTTTGAGTGTAAAAGATCGTTGGCATCAGGTGGTAATTTTGGTTTCATTTTATTTTTTTTTTACTTTATCGACACTTTCTAATAACCAAAACTAGTTGAAAATTTGTACTTGAATATTGGCGAAATGACTTTGGTCACAATTCACTTCTCTGTATTTCCGAGAGGTTATATTTATTTTAAATTGAAAAAAGAATAAACAATGAAGAGGTAAGTTTGAAGCTACCTTCCACACTGACTCAGTTACTCGTACTATCTCGTTATCGATGTACATTATCGATATTGCACTCAACGAAGCTAAATCCATGATAATCCATTGCCAGAGCATTGAACCGAGAGGAGGGAATTGAATAAGAAAGCATGAGTGATAGTTCATCAATAGTGTATTCATCAATTTTATCCAGTTAAATTTCGTTAGTTGCATTAGAATCTTTCATTTCTGTGAAAATCTCCACGTGCATCGAAGCAGTAGGTGAGTATAATTCTATATAAAAGAAGCTGAATATTCTATCTGTCTTCAGTGATTTATTTTCGGCATTGGTGGTGATAGAATCCCCTGTAATAGATAAACGAAAAATGATTGAAAATTTCAGCATACAGGAGACAGTTTATATTTTCACAGATTACAGAGTAATTTGACTTCTTAGAAGTCAAATTACAGGTAACTGGAAAAATTACTTTCATAATATTTCCAAAATACAGATTTGAAGAAATGTTTTGTGAAATAAAATTGCTTGAATCTCATCTAATTTGCATTGTTTGAAAAATATTTGTGACCATGGCTGTTGCTAGAAATAGGCCCCTCTTTTCTGGCCTTAATTGCCGAGATATTTTGCTTCGTTTAGTCAGGACTCAAGTTTATACCAGCGTCAATAGGTGATTGTGCACCAAGCGAGAAAAACGCAACTGTTGTGTTTGGAATCATTTCAAAAATTAATTTTATTTAGAAATTTATTCTTTCAATAAATCTGACTTTTTCGTTGCCCACCGGACGTTCAGTTGCTGCCGATGCAACTCAAATTACCGGGCGAGCTCGCCGGGCGCGATTTTCAAAACCTCAAAATTGTAAATTCAACTCAATTGCACTGTCTTTTTGGCCACTATATTCGTTCTTTTATTAATTTTTCTTCAGTCTCGTCTTAGATGCCAAACGGGCACGTCAATCAGACCGAACTCCTTGGGTCTACACGCGTTCGTAACTTCGGAATCAGTTATAAAATCCTGCCCGACGTACAAGTGATAAATAGACCCAAGTAAAATTCAAACAAGAAGTATTCTTGCTACCTTATATTTTTCAAATTAAACTTCATAGCTTAACGGTCGATGGACTGCGAATTGTTCATTACGTTTTGAGTGCGAAATTTTATGCTCAAATTATGAAACATTTTAATGCGATAAGTGACACAGATTTCAATATAAAAATTAAGTGAGATTGATGTGAAAATTGACGTATTATTATCAAAATCCAAACTCATTTGGAAAATTTACTTTGGATAAACACACAATATTGGTTTGTACAAAATATAGAAGAGGATCTATGTGTTTTGGCCTTCATACATTTATCAAAATTATCAAATCAAAATCTTTGAATCAAAAATCAATCAACACTTAACTTCGTTCGATTTCTCTCTCTCCTTTGGTTTCTTTTCTTGTTCAATCGAAAATCTTTCTAAGGAATAAAAATCAAAATTAACTATATTCAAGTTTCTCTTATTTAAAACCCTGACTTTATTATCATTATCATATCAAATTGCTAACTGAACCTTAGCTGCAGATGCACCTAGTGCTTTAAAGGGTAAGGATCTACTAAAATATTATTTTATCCCGACAATAAGAAAGTGGAAGATAACTCATTTAATATTTAATTAAATTTGTTTTCCAAAATGTTCCTGTTATCAGACAACCTTCCATTTCGCTTTAATGTCCTATTTTTCGTCCTAGATGCACTTACTATTTTTGATTAAAATTGCACAGTTAAATTTGATTTTTCTTCGGGAATGCAAGCAGGAAAGTAGATTATGTCATATCGAGAATCGTGGAAAACAACAGAAATCCCAAATAATGAAATAAGCTAGTTTCCTCCCGAAATGATGGGAGGGAAGTGGCTTACTTCACTCCTCGCATTCCTTTTGGTTTTGACGTTCCTCGGAATGATATAATCCACGCTCCTCCCTGCATTTACGAAGAAATATCGAACCGTGCAGTTATCACGAAAAATTGTATGTGCACCTAAGAAGGACATCAAAACCTGCGTGTGTATCGCTCTTGGCTTCGCCTCGGATAGTAATCCGCACGCGGATTGGAATGTCCTATTTTCCTCCATAGAAGTCAAATAATAAAATGAACTAAACTTAAACCAGAGCATTTACACCTTAATAAAGGTTATCTCATAACGGTCAGTTAAACCCTTGAAAACTGCAATTGTGAACAGTGTAATGGAACTGTGTTTTATTGTGTTTATTATTGAATCAAATATGCAAAAACATCGTACCAGCTAGGAATATACTAAAGCATTTTATATTATCAATATTTGCTTACACGCGAGATTTTTGGTTAAGGTGTGTGACGACGACGACGACCTTTGGCGAATTGACTGGCTATTTCTTGTCCTTTGGCAATCCATACTGTTGGATCAGGAATGTTACCCAGTCCTTGCATTCCCAAATTTCCCGGACCCATTCCACCGTTCATTCCTTGAGGAATTGGACCGTTATTATCAGGTGGTGCTTGACGAGCAATCTAGGTAGAAAGAATAAGCCAAGAAAAATCAGCAAAAGATGTATAAATTACTTTTCCATACTGACCTTCACTCTCACCAGTCCGGGGATTGGTGTTGACCCTTCCCCGAACTGGCAAAAGTGAAAGTCACTACGGAAAAATATCGTTCGCGCCTAGTGCCATAGGGGTTGTCGACGAGTGTGATTGGCAATCGATGTCAAATCAATGTTAAATCTTAGTATCTTTATTTATAAACAGATATATGAAGATTTTAAATTGATGAACAATGATCCACTTTGTCCCACGAGCCCCTAAGAAAAATAAGTGGATAATGGCAGTTTATTTATAAATGAGTATCGTTATTGTTGCTAATAAATTAGCAATTTGCTTCCGAATGGATTCTTTTTTTTGCAATTCTTATTTCACTATTCTCTTCTTCAATTTTTTCATGTCATAGTACTATCATCAATTGAAATGTCATCATAATTTTGTGTATTACTTCTTTCTGTCAAATAATGCTACATTCAGAGCCTCCAAGACTCGCATTCGTTTTCCATCCGGATTTAATCAAGGTTCAATGAAGGTTTCATCAGTATCTAGCCCAGATTTAATCAGGGTTTATTAAGGATTTAGCCAAAGTTTGAATCAGATTCTATCAGAAGTTAGTCGGAACCATGAATCAATATGTACCTGAGTTTAATAGCAATAGAGATTTTGATATAAAAAGATCACAACGGTACTGTCTAACTGGTTAGTCAATGCTTCTGTGCCCCGCCATTTTTCAATGTGATTAAGAAGGCATTGAAACAAACTATTCTTGCCGTGATTTAATTGATATTACTGATAATTCTTTCACTCATCATGGAAAATCGATTTTCTCTTTCAAATCGCATAAACAATAGTCTGTAACTCAAGAACGAATTGTGCGACTTTAATCATATTCTGACAGAATCAAGAGAGTATTGTTATCAATTTGTTTAACCATGGCTAATTCCCTTTTGATGACAATTTCCTTAAATCTGATATCGATCAATCAGAGTATGGTATTCGAGATCACGTAACACTTTCACATCAGTTTTATTTTGATTATTTTTCCAACTCAAATATCGGGCAATATAATTAGCCCATTCGACATCACGTGGTACAAGCTACAGGGTTTTCAACTGATAATTTTTTGATAATTTTCTTTGGTAGTTGCTACACAAAAAAACAAAACATCATGCAGTCAAATTAACCCCTCGTCAAACTGACAGATTGAATTCAATTGTAGTAATCCGAGGATTTTTATTCGAAATGAGTAGATTCGGAGTTCATTCCCTGAAAACCATTGATGAATAAGTAAAGGGGAATATTCCTGTCTATACGGAGAAAACGAAGAAGACAATTTGGAATCAATTTACCAGTTTTTGTGATGAGAGAAACTACACATTGAGTGCTGACATACAGATTGAATGCTGTTATATCAATTATACAATTTTCGTTTCTCAATTGTGAGTTTCGTCTCATGGTTCAATTATATTGCGCGACATTTGGATTAGAAAAATAATCCCCCGAATACCACACGAGCTTCGAAACCGAAAAATTGACTTGAATCACACCGAATTCGGTCTGAATCAAGTTAAAAAATCGACTTGAATCAGACCGATATTCCGGTTTGCATCAGTCCAAGTCCAAATTGATTCATGCCGTCAATTTGATATGAAACAAGTCGATTCCCCGCTTGGAGAATCCATGATTCAGTCCGACTTGATTCAAACCTACATTTTTTTGGGTGTATACTGGTATCGTCTGAGCTGGGCAGCTGCTTGTGCCAGCTCGCAAGCAGCTGCCCGCTTGATAGGTGCAATTAGTAGAAGGGAAATAGGAAAGTCCGTTCCTATGTCCTCATTCATTAATTAGGTAAATAACTTGAAGAAGGTGACCGAACCAAAATGTGGCCTTTGCGAGGTTCATACCAGCTGCGTCCCTGTTGCGAACCCTGGACAATACTCAGTGCTAATGAGGCTGGATACTTCAATAGAAAAAGCTTCACTACACATTAAATTTATATAAACATCAGTAACGTGGTAAAATTTTTACTGGGACAAAAATGAACGTTATCTCGCCCTTTTCCCTTGGTAAAGTCAGAAAACTGAAACTCGATGATTGCAGGCGCCCAGTTGTTCTTTGTCTCGACGGAAACAACAAACCGAAATTAGGTCGAAGCGGAAACATACAACGAAAATCCAAGATTCAAAAACACAAAAACTTAAACTTAAGGGGCCAAGGGAAAGGTGACAGGGTGCTCGCGCTGCTCAGGGGGTCGATTGGGGAGAGAGAGGTAGGTCGAGGTGGAAACAGGTTATCGGGCTCTTATTCTCAAAAAAGGAAACACAAAAGCTGAATTTTAATAATGAAATGTAGATGGCTATATTGTTCATAAATTTACAGAAAAGATGTACTCAAATTCACCCCAAAAGAAATCAACACTAAATAATCCATATAATACTGAACTCAATAATAAGAACAAATTTTCCCCTAAGAGAGAGAAATACAAGATTTAAACAGTGGCAATAAAAGAATGCACAATTGACTCGATAAATTTTGAGTAGATTCAGAAAATCAGAAATAGAGCCAAAATGAAATTAATTCTCTAAACTTCTATCCCTATAAGAATGACCGTAAACGCGACGGTAGACGCAAGAAAAATAATACCGGAAAACTAAGAACACGGTAACTAGGCCAAGATCGGCATAAACCATCATCCCTGCCAAATGAATTAATTGTGATCAAATCCCGAGTTGAGCGCAATTAATAACCCCAAAAGGAATCCGAATAAGTGCGATATACGTATCGAAATTGTACTCACATTCCTAACACAATAAATTGGGATTAACTTTAACCAAAGTATACGCAGTCAACACTCGAAATGTCGAATACGCCAAATACGGCACTCTATACCCAACGGTACTTGACCTTTAGTCCCTAACGGCCAGAACTGCACAAAAGTCTTACATCTGATTTCACTAAAGCGACATGAATGCTCTAATACTTTGAAAACCATTGGAAAAAGCACGATTAATCCACAAAACCAAGGCTCGAGAACGAATGGTGTAACGCAAAAAAAATACAACTTAACGAGTCGCAAATCCAAAGATAAAAATCAGGCCAGGTCGCTCCCTCTTTGGGATATGACCGGTAGGGGTTGGTGGAATTGGGTGTGACCCATTACGGGTCGAACCAATAACTTCCCGACCATTTGTTTTTGTTGACGCTGAGGTCATGCCACAGTGAATGCGGCACACGCTATACGCAACGCTAGTCATTGTCAAAAATATTCGGAAAACAGTTGGATGATTATTACATGCGTTGCATGCGTTTAGCGTTGCATCCATTGTGGCATTACCGTAAAGGTGATTTCGCAAAGAACGCATTTGCAATTCAAGTTAACTCAAACTTCAATCAAGTTTGAATTAAACCCACTTTTTACTTGACCCACTTCAAAATTCTCTCAACTCCGAATCTGATCCACTTAAAAATTTGCAACTTCAAAGTTGACTGACTTCAAAATTTTCCAACTTCAAAGTTGATCGACTTCAAAATTTTGTAGCTTCAAAGTTAACCCACTCTAAAATTTTCCAACTTTCCATTTTTTTAATTGCAAAATTCGAAAGTTTTATTTAAAAAACTCAACCACTGAGGCGATTTTGCTCAAAATCTAATCAGAATCAAATTATATGGAGATGCATCGACTACACAAAACTAATTCAAATCCCATCGTTACCTTAGGTAAAATGGTCGAATATCTATGAAATTAACGCTTTTTGGCATTTTTTTACAAGTTTTATGCGGATAAATAAAAAACCGCGGAGTCAATTATTTTCATAAACTAAACAGTTCTAAGTTACATGAACACACATCGTTTGAAGGAAGAAAAAAATCAATCGCTTCATTCGTTCAGGAGATATCGTTGGACAAAATTTTGGTCGCATACGCACACACACACACATACACACATACAGACATGTCTTCAAAAATATATCAGGATGATTCCGGAGGTCGAGAAATGTGGAAAAATCATCGAAATTCCACATTCGATTTTCGGGGTCATTACAATAACTTCCTCCCTTCGGATCGGGAAGTTAAAAATGAAAATGATAAGATTTCTTCGAATAGAATCATTGAATTTTCACAAAATCGTTATTTTCTACATGTTTTATGCGAATAACTACCCAACCGCTGAGACGATCTTCTTCATACACTGATCACCCCCGAGTTACATCAACACGCATCAATTGTAATAACAAAAATGCGAATAACATCATTTCTCCGGATGAAATCATTGAGTTTCCAAGAAATCGTCATTTTTTCACATGTTTTATGCGAATAACTACCCAACCGCTGAGACGATCTTCTTCATACACTGATCACCCCCGAGTTACATCAACACGCATCAATTGTAATAACAAAAATGCGAATAACATCATTTCTCCGGATGAAATCATTGAGTTTCCAAGAAATCGTCATTTTTTCACATGTTTTATGCGAATAACTACCCAACCGCTGAGACGATCTTCTTCATACACTGATCACCCCCGAGTTACATCAACACGCATCAATTGTAATAACAAAAATGCGAATAACATCATTTCTCCGGATGAAATCATTGAGTTTCCAAGAAATCGTCATTTTTTCACATGTTTTATGCGAATAACTGACAAACCGATGAAGCGATCGATCTCATAATCTAATCAGTTCTTAGTTACATCAAAACGCAACGATTGAAAAAAAAAATTCGAATCGCTTCATTTGTTCAGAAGATATCGTTGGACAAAATTTTGGTCACATACGTACATACACACACACATGTCTCCAAAAACGCGTTTCAGGATGATTCGAGAGGCCGAGAAATGTGGACAAATCATGGAAATTCCAAATTCGATTTTCGGGGTCATTACAATAACTTCCTCCCTTCGGGTCAGGAAGTTAACTAGGCGTAACTGTACGCAAATAGAATCCAACGTCAAAGCCGAAGTATTAAA